ATAGTGAACTGAAGCAACTGATTGTTTGAACACTGAGGAAGGGTTTGTGTGTCAGATGGAGGGAGAGGGAGAGGGAGAGACATACACACACAGAGAGACTTGACTTTTTCATAAAACCATGGAAAAAGGAACATTGCAAAATTTAATCTCCATTGCATTTAGCTCTGCTGAGAACAGCAAGTATTTCAAGGTAGTAGTTGTACAATTAGCTGTTTAAATAATATTCTTTGGTATTTTGAAAAAAGCCTCCATTGAATTTATTTTTATTTTTTTAACATGACTGGTTCTTGGTCAGTTCACTAAGAGACGTTTATTGGCAGGAATTGTAATAAAATTGTATTGATTGCGGGTTTAATGTGGATTCAAATGAAACATTCAATATGTCCTCCTTTGTCCTCCTTTTTATCTTTCTATGTCCTCCTTTGTCCTCCTTTTTGTCTTTCTATGTCCTCCTTTTGGTACCAATGTATCTGGCAACCCTACCTGCGCGGGATAGAAGACTGTCAGAGAGGAAGGCCGTGGGGAAACGGAGGACAGGTGAGTTAGCTCAGTGTCGGGGTTTTTTTCCTTTCCCTCTCTGCAGTGAATGAATTACAACGCTCACATAGTTAACTACCTAAAAAGTTTAGTGAGTTAACTATATCAGCCTTGTAGTTCATTCACCGCAGTGCCTCACCCAATGGGGGCCTATTACTACCCACAAATTGGGGGCCTATTACTACCCACCCCTGAACACAGTTCAGATTTTTCATGTGGGCCCCTACAGAAACTAATTGTCCACCCCTGCTCTGGGTGGTGGTGCTCATCCCCGTTTCCAAGTCATAGAGCCAGCGTTGTCAGAAGACAGTTTCCGTGGTCACGTGGCCAGCGCGACTAGACATGGAATGGCGTTACCTTCCCACTGAGGTGGTACCCATTTATCTATTCTCATTTTTACATGCTTTCGAACTGCTAGGTTGGCAGGAGCTGAGACAAGCGACGGGAGCTCACTCTGTCATGTGGATTCAAACTGCTGATCTTTCGACTTTGCAGCCCAGAGGCTTTGCGGTTTAACCCGCAGTGCCACCACGGTGTTTACCATCACAATTTCATGGACCGAAATTGGCAGAAACGAAGGTTCCTTTGTTGCTCTAGGCAGACAATGCTCTTCTTATGTTGCTCTTGCAAATAGATCTTAAACAACATTTACATGTTTTTATGGGCTACTGTAAAGATAATTTGCTACCAATTAATTTTAGGAAAACCAAGATCATGGCTTTGTCTAGATGTACTCAGGTGAACAAGTGGTTGATGGATAGCACATCGAGCAGGTTAAAAAGTTCAAATACCTTGACACTGTTTTTAGCTCCTCTCTCTCTTGGACCAGCCAGAACCAGTCAGCAGTGCAGATGACACAGAATACAAGTAAAGCAGTGCTTTGGTTTTTTGTTTTTTTTTAAACTAAGGGGGCACATTTCATTCCTGCTGCATTGTAGGTAGTTGAGGCCAAAGTTTTATCTCCACTGCTATATGATATAGCAATATGGATTCAAGGTTTTAATTCAGTTCTTGAAAGCATGCTCTCAAATCTCTTGTGCTCTGTTTTTGGAATGCCCAGGTATGCCTCATCTGCAGGACTATGATTAGAGGTGGGCCTCATATCTGTAAAGTGTAGAGGCTGATCTTTTGCCTTTCGTTATTGGTCAAAAGTTGTATATGCAGAGCCATCCTTAGGTTACCTTTACCTCTTGCAAAAAGATATTTTTATTAGTTCTTGGTTTAAAGCAGGGGTGTCCAACCTTTCCCCTTCCCTGGGCCACATTAGAATATGAAATTTTGGTTTGGGCCACACATACATTTGGTCTGGGCCGCACGGGGGGGGCAGCCCTAGCCGTCCTCTGCAGCCCCCCTCCAAGTGCACTTACCGGCAGCTGCGATCTCAGACAGCAGAGGCTGCCAGCTTCGACTCCGGCGGCTTTATGGGGCCGGGAGGGGGTCCACCTATTGATGGGGATGGTGCAATGCAGTCACGCAGGCCCCCTGTCCCCTCCCACTCCTTCCTTCCTTCCCTCTCTCCCCCTCTACTGTTGTGACGTGCCCCAGCCACATTCCAGCCGCAAGTGCGGGCAGTGTAACTTGAAACTTTGGAATTTCTTTTAAAATAAAAAATTGCACTGGGCCGCATTACAAGCTGACCTGGGCCGCATGCTGCCCTCGGGCTGCAGGTTGGACAAGCCTGGTTTAAAGGATCTGTAGCCAGATAACACCTACTAGGCTTTTCTATGGCCCTTCTCTAAACAGAGGATCATTTTACTATAAAATCCATTTTAGAAAAAAGAATCAAATACATGAACTTGCAATATTCCCTATCAAAGGCCCATGGATCTTGTTTGCCAATATATCTTGGCCTAAATTTTGAGTTCCCAAAGCATGATCTGTATTTGGATAAACTTACAGTCCCCAAATACTGGCATGCTTTCTCCAGGGCCAGATTCAACTGTCTCCCTTCTGCAATACTGGAAGGGTGATATTGCAGCATGCCCTAGGAGGATTGGCTGTATGCTTGCGAAGATGAAGTGGCTGAGTCTTTGTCACACATCCTGTTTGAATGTAGCCTTTACAGAAATTATCATAACAGACTTTGTCCTGTTATGTGAAAATGTCCTGGAAGGCCATTTACATGGTATTTAGACTATTTGTTGGCAGGTATAAACAAAACAGTTACAGAATCTGTATCTAAGTTCCCATTTTCTGTTGTAAGATCTCATTAAAACACTTTTTAATCTAACTGACTACTTTCTTCTAAATGGGCATGTTTTTAATAATTATCTTTATTTTGTTTTTATTGTTGTATTGTTTTAACTTGGCTCTGTGACTGCATAATAAAGAATGAAATGAAATGAAAAATTTTAGGAAACTGGTCAGAAGCCAGTTTGAATGTCTAAACATTCAAAAGTTACTAAAAAGTTTCTACAGTATATTTCCTGGTAGTCTGTGACTGTATTAAACTGTACTTTCTCCGGTCCATTCAATTAGCTTGTCATTTTTATGTAGCATTTTCTTACTGTGTCAGCTCTGCATTTTATGCAAATGATGGGAACTTTCTGCCTATTTACATTATTTAGAGCTGATAAGATTTTTATGTTGCAATGATTCCAAGTGGCTCAAAGTAGTACTATGGCATTTTTCAGGGATTTGAATCCAGGGACATCCATTTTTTTTATATACAGAGGAAGGAAGTCAAAATTTCTCAAATTTTATTGCTTCTAGTTTACATCTAGATTTTGGTAACGATGCAGATTTCAAAATGTTCAAATGGGGGAAGCAAATTTGTTAAATTTTTAAATTTGTATTACTTTTGCACCATAGCACACCGAGAGAGAGAGAGAGAGAGAGAGAGAGAGAGAAGCAAAATACTTTGAGAATACAGAGAAGTAAAACTGTGACAGATTGTGAATGGTGGGCTGATAAAAAAACAAGGGGGCAAAGGAGTAGAGAATAAAATATGTGGGGGGGGAGAATAGATATCAGCTGGTCCTGCTCTGATTTTTAAAAAATGGTACACCATAGCACAAAAGTGAAAACTAGGATTAGACAGTGTTGGGACAAAAATCTGAAGTTTTGAGAATGAGGAAGGAAAGAAAGAGTGATATAGATGGGGAAAAGGTAGATAAGGTATCAGCTATTCCTGTGTCTGGCCTTTAAAAATGTATTAACTTCTGCACCACAACACTAAAATGTAAACTAAAACTAATAAAACAAAATAAACCTCGTACTTTGAGTGCAGTAACTTTTATTGAGTATGTAGACTACCGAGTTTTATATAAAGCAAAAGCTTCAGGTGAACTGGGAGGTTCTTCACTGAACAAGTAAATTAAATTACCAGCAGAATTATGAGGGATGCAGAAAGAATTTCAACACACACACAAAAAAGAGAGGTGGCACTCTCCTTTTGCACTGATTTCTTCACATTGAGTATATCTCTCTCTGTGTTGTTTTTTTTCAGAAGACTCAGAAATAACAAAAGGCAAAAATACTCTTCATTCAATTACTCCAATTCCACATTTATGAAATAAAGTTAAACTAAAGCATGTGTATATTTGCAAGGAGGACTATGTTTATCCAAATGATTGCTCAGCTTTAGGAATGGAGATTAATGTCTCACATAAAATGCATTTATTCTATTTGTACACCAGCTACTTTTAAAAATAAAAGGAAAATCTTTCACAATACAGGTGACATGTTATAAATAGCTGAGAATGCAAAAATGGCTGTGCTATACATATATTTCATTTCCCTGTGAGTTGCAGACCATCCATTATGGAACGAATGAAGTCAGCTGTAAGAGCAATAATATTTTTCATGGGTGGCTTATGAATACTTGGCAGACGAGAGGGGGAATAGACCATGAATAAAGTATGTATAAAAACTGTATGTTTTCTGTGAGTTTATGCTGTTTTAAGCACTATTCATTTTACTTAATAGGAAACACATTTAAGATTATCAATTTATTCGTCATGTCATAGATCTCTTTTACACATCCAGTAAAATAAGGTGGTGGGATGTGCTGAACCATGTTAAACTGTGGTCAAAGGGTAGAAGTCAATCGCTTTTGAATAATTCGCAATATCCCTTCAGATAGGAAATCAGCATTGCAGGAAGTGTTTTGGGCTAAACTGCCTCTCCTTAATGTGTTTTATTAATCCCCCCATTTGTTTACTTCAACACTGAAAATAGTTTTCAGACGTTATATCCTCAAACTGCACTCTGGTACTGCACCTATGATACCACAAACCTGGTTTCACTGTTGTGATCTCTCTCTCTCTCTTTTTCTTAAACCCTCATATGTGGGAACTCACCTTGAATAATGTGCTAAATTAATAAATTAAAGATAGATATAAATTAGCTTGTTATTAATGGGCTCTCAATATTTCAGCACTGTGGCAAATCATTTTAAAAGAAAGGGAAGAGAAGACGAAAAGAAAAAGATTCAAAGCCTCCAGTTGTAAGGAAGATCTTACCAGATGGGTCAAAAGTGACGTGGTTGCCAGGATGTGGTCCTGCATCAATTGATACCATAGGTACTCCCTTTCGAATGTCCCACAGTTTCAACACACCATAAGAATCACAGGAAACAATAGTATCGCCCTGTAAAAGAGGGCAGAAATGTTATTGAGTGTAATATAAAGAAACCATGACTAAATAACTTCATTGATCTCCCATTTGCATTACATTTCTGCGTTAAGAAGCATATCCTGAATGGCATTTTAAAATCTTCAAAAATTATATGCACAAGAAAACCAGAAATCTGTTCAAATTTGTCACACTAATTGGAACTGAAATGACAAATGTAATATGCACAAAGCTTTTAACTGCAAATAGATTTGGCACTAGTTTTAAATGGTGTAATGATTTTTGACACAAATGAACAAAAGAATCCAGAGTTTCTGGAGCATCCTACATTTGTGCATATATATCACATTACATTAATATTAGCTATGAAGGGTAGAGTGGGTTACTGCACTTTTTCGCATAAGCAACAACGTGTCTCTTAAGATTCTCTGTTCTGACTGAATCAGTGGTTGACCCAAGGCTTCAAAAGAAAGGAGGTAGCAGGGTTTTCCTGTGCTTTTTTCCCCTTCAGCTCCTTGCTTCCTCTGGCTGGGAGAAAAGTTCAGGTTAGTATTCTCCTTAGTCTTCCCCTCCTTCCAAAACTAATAGGCAGCTGGCTGTCCAGACACACTCATTTCCTGGTTCACTTCATCTTCATAGTCCCAAGAAGACTTCAACCTTGGCTGTGTTTTGTATTGCAAACCTGCTAACCTTGTGCTCTGTTCCTCCTTGCTCTCTTGCATACATGCCTATATAGATAAAACTTTATTAAACCCAAATTATAATAAAACCCAAACTTTTGTATTTTCCCCACAAGGTTTACTGTGTGATCAAACAATTGTACAGTTGAAAGTATGTGAAGGGTCAACTGGTCTAACCAATGCCAATGAAGAAAATCCAATGTTTGCTTAAAAACCTCAAAAAAGATAGCCTCTTCCAAAGTCAAATAGCTCTTAATGTCAAGAGGTTTTCCTTAATATTTAATTTAATTTAATATTTAATGTAGGAGAGATCTTAACCATTCTCCAAGAATTATCAAAGATTATATAAGGAGGCTTACATCTCTAAATCCTTTTAATATCCTTGGATGTAGTTCATCTGGTATTGTTTCTTGGCGATTTGCGCCTCTTTGCATCTCTTATTGCTGTTAAAGCTCAGCTCAGCTAAAAGCTCCCAGTTTTCTTCATATGTTCCCACTTCCTTTTCTAATTGCAATTGTTCATGGCCATGCCCTTAATATCTCACTTTTTAAACACTTCCACCCATCATGACCACTCTTCTATTTGAAATTTCTGATAGTGGGATCTCACCTGGAATTTTTTTAAAGCTTATTGAACTTTCTTAAAGTCTGGAATGCACAACCCACTATCCTCAGCTCTCCCTCTCCTCAGGAAAAAAACAACCCTCATATTCCGGTAATTTCTATTCAGGATTCCTAATATATCTGCATTAATGAGCAGTTCCTCTCTGTCATGGAGGATACAGCCCAAGACAGTGGATCCCCTTGTCATTTCTTCCACTTTTGGGAATATGAACTTGTCAGCAGGGAAGATGAGGAAATTTGTTGACCTCACATTTGCGGCCAATATTTATTGAACTTCCAATAAATAACAGGGTTGCATTACCACTCATCCATTGTCTTTGAATGTCTGGCAATCTGTTCTCAGAGGACATAATCCAGCAATCTGGCTGGGATGTTGGTAGCAGACCCTCTCACTGGTGTTTCTATCTGCTTTCATTTCTGACTAAATGCTCTCCATCAACTTCCATGCTTCTTGTCATGGCTTTTCTCCCCATGAACTCTGAGGAGTTCTTGAGTTCTTTGCACTAACAACAGGACACTGGTGGGTGTAAGCCTGATGAAGTGAGCCCTGAACCACAGCATCTTTGACAACAGGGGACACCTCTGCTGCGCTTCTGCCACTGCCAGTGTGCTCCTTGGTCACTGCCACCATCCAGCCACACAAAACAAATATTAAAAGCAGGTGTGTGCTTCAAGTGGTTTGGTTCCAGCTTGCAGTAACCTGCAGTAAAAATCTTACTCTGAGTTATCTGCAAACCTGTAGTTCCTACCAGTATTTTCAATATGCAATAAACAGAACTGGCCACTTGAAGGGCCCAGTGAGTATCTTCCAAGGAATGCACTGGGAATGGTAACAGGTCAGCAAGAAGCAACAAACGAGTCACGTTAGCAGCTCGGGACAAATGGGAATGATGTGCTACTGATTCAAAACAGAACCTGAATGTTATTCAAGTGTGGACCATGAGCCTAGGAATGATCAAGCTTTCTTGAATTGATTCAGTAATTATACATTTTCCTCCCAGGGTAGAAAAACACATAATATTTCCAAGCCCAACTCAAAAATTGTCCAGAGTAAGCATCCAGAGGATAACATCTAATATGTATACTGGGCTTCGTTACTCCCAGCATACTGTTAATCAGCATACAAGGGGTGGGGAATACATGGAAAATAAGTAAGAAAAAGCTTTTCTCTACACCATACACCACTTAAGTAGGGGGGCAGGTCTTTCCAGGTTGATGGGGATAGCTTTGGAAGGCAACCAGAACAGTTACATGAAGTTATTTTCTGGCCTGGGTTTTGATTTAAGGTACCTTTGTCAGGAACTTTACATGAGACAATGTGACAATTTAAATTGTTTTACTGTTCACTGCGTTTACTTAAAATCAGGGAGGCTGCATTTAAAAAGATTTTATTTTATCTTATCTCATTTTAGTTGTGGTTGGCAAGATTTTAGCTGAGACAAACCATTGTGATGTGACAATAACATCTGAGAATTCTCCAAACCCTGGGAAATATTGCTCTTGCTCAGAAGACTAAACAACAACAAAAATGAGCAAACAAGAAGATGGGGAAAATTAAGCAATTTCTCTTGCTGAGTTTCTACAATTTGTGCAAAATTTGCAACTTTATGAAGCTACAGTACATACACATACACACACACACAAACAGCAAGACACACAGACTGTGTGCAAGAGGACATGCGTATTGATCACAAAAACACAAACAACTCATTCAGTAGACTATTTTTAGTAGCTCATGAAATAAGACAACAGGTACCACAGTTCTGAATTTTGCTCATTGTACAGAATTAGCAAAAATCACCCTCAAAATGCAGAAATTCTTTGATATTGACAAAAAATTAAATCTTGCTACCTTGTGGCAAGGAGAAAAATCCTAGTGTTATTCTGTTTCACTGTGCGAGGACACATCACATAAGAATAATACATTACTAACAGAAACTCAAAGTGCCCTTGGGACCATGGAACCACTTGGACCATTCTTTTGATCTTGACCAGTTCCTATTGGCCAATACCTATGCAGTCAACAAAGCTGAAATGAAGTGATAACTTTCCAATATACAAGAGTAAACTATATGAAGAAATAGTGTTAACAAGGTACATCTTAAAAACTGCATTCCATTTTAAGCAAGAGAGATGGTGTTTTACTAGATAAGCATCTAAACTTAGTGATAACAAATGGCCTTCTGTATCTGGCAACAGTTTGCCTTTTCCTACAACGCTGAAATCAGAGTCAAGGTTAATCATGGATGCTTTCTGCATCTCCACCATCATAAGTGCCACTGTTATCAAGGCCCACTGCCTTTTGAATTCTCTTCTACTGATGCTACTTGCAACACAGCCAATCGGTTTTTATACAACAACAACATAATGAAGCACTGAAGCAGTGAGATGTGTGATTTTGAAAGAGAATGAAATTAAATACAAGGCAAAAAGATCTCAAGTTCAAACTCCAGTAACCTAAGAGTAATGCTTTCTGGAATTATCTCTCTTCAGGGATATGTGCTCTCCATGAAAGAAGCATCAATTTTGATTTTCTGTATGGCCAATAATCAAATAACAGATGAATTACTGTTTCTATGAGAGAAATGTGGGACATTTGCACTTAGTAAAACAATACTCTCAGAGTCCTTTTGTTTCATGGAGTTAGTTAAAGAATGGAGAGCTTGAATGTGGTCAACAATAATGTTTTTGAAAGGACAAAGAAATCACAAAAAATAACATTGGTTTACTTTTATAATGGCTTACTTCATAAAATAAATAACAAGAAATCAAAAATCTGGAATACATAACCACAACAGGCAGATACACATACAGCATATATGCATGTGTACTGTATAAAAAGATGCAATATTTTCAGTGTGGTTTAGTCTGTAGTAAGTAAGGACTGCAACCAACATGACCAGGGCATTGGCTGAAAGCCTGTTTCTTAATATAGTAAGTCACACTAAAGTAGGCCAACTGAATTAGTGGGGACTTGGTGAGCCAATTCCTTACTGTTGTTTAGTCGTTAAGTCATGTCTGACTCTTCGTGACCCCATGGACCAGAGCACGCCAGGCCCCCCGTCTTCCACTACCTCCCGGAGTTTGGTCAAAGTCATGTTGGTAGCTTTGGTAAAACTGTTAATCCACCTCATCCTCTGTCGTCCCCTTCTCAGTCATGTCTGACTCTTCGTGACCCCATGGACCAGAGCACGCCAGGCCCCCCAGTCTTCCACTACCTCCCGGAGTTTGGTCAAAGTCATGTTGGTAGCTTTGGTAAAACTGTTAATCCACCTCATCCTCTGTCGTCCCCTTCTCCTCTTGCCTTCATACTTTCCCAACATCAGGTCTTTTCCAGGGAGTCTCCTTTTCTCATGAGAAGGCCAAAGTATTGGAGCCTCAGCTTCAGGATCAGTCCTTCCAGTGAG